CGAATGGGTCGTTTGTAGGAGTGTCGGCCGCCCCAACCTGCGACACGTGTCGCCAGAGATTAGAGGGATATCTGAAGTCGTATCAAATCGTAACTTGACTTGCCTGCCATTGATTTCCACTATGGTGTACTTACGCCTGTTGAGGTCATCAACTTTGAAAGTCGCAGTGATCATTCTCATCCCATCGGGCCGTCTAGACGGCGTGGCATTGTTGCATTACGTTCCGGACAGACTCTTTATTACCTCTTTTGCCGCATCGGTTGCAAAGGTGTGCAGCATTTGCTGCACATGCGGCAGGCCCTCTCGGCAAACACTCTCGCCCTGAAGGGTAGAGTGTACAATGCAACGGTACGTTCGACCTTACTGTACAGTTGTGAAACCTGGCCCCTTAGATCATCAGACATAAAGAGGCTAGATACATTCGACCACAGGTGCCTTCGCAATTTAGCTCATATCTGGTGGGAACACCGAGTAAGCAACAAGCGTGCTCGACGCCTTGTTTACGGCAGAGGAAAGGGAACTGAACCGCTCAGCCCCGTTATTTCACGCACCAGGCTTAGGTGGCTCGGCCACGTGTTACACATGCCAGTCCACCGGCTCGCGCGACGTGCGTTGTTGGCGAGCCGGGGGTGTGGATGGAAGAAGAGGAGGGGTAGCCAAGCGATGACTTGGTCGAGAGGAATGAAGGTCCTCACTTCGAAGCTGGCCTCGGCTGGAGTGTCTCGGTTCCCTGGTTGGGGTCCGAAAGACGATGAACATGTTTGGCTAGATACATTTGTAAGTAGTAGGGCTAGATACACTTGCTGATATGGCTAGGAGCCGACCACAGTGGCGTTCATACTGTGAGTTTCTTTGTCCCACCCCATCCCTCTTAGCCTCCCCCTCCAACCACCATCTCAGCAGTTAGCCTTATATAATTTTGCATAGTAATACCTTTTGCTGCATAGTAGTCAGCTGGTAGCTTACCGGAACGCCGCTCAGCCGTCACCGGTAGCTCACCTGACTTGCACTGTTGCATATTTTTCTCCTTTTTTCTTCTACGTATTGCGGCACAGTAGCTGAGGTGTCTCCCACCTCTAGCTAACGTGTATAATGATAATGCCGATTTACGTTGGTCAAGTCCGTCGTTTGGTGTGTGGGCTACCCCGTACTCTGTGAGATAGTAACGTGCAAGTCGGTGGATAGTGAGCGGTGCTATGTCACATCTAGTAACTTAGTCACGACGGTTGTTACCGTCGCCAATAGCCCAGTGGTCGACATCACGGACCTGTAAGTTGGGTTGAAGCCACACAGGAGGCAGATGTAATGCGCATTGTTGGCGGTTTCAGAGAGGATGAAACAATAGTACAGTGGTTTTCCAGGATTGTGGTGGCTGTCTGACGGAGTATAGATGTGATAAAGCACTAATTATACCATCCAATTCTCCCTAATACACCCTTCTAGTATGTAATGACCTAGCAGTCAAGAAAGCGATGACCAATAACTGGAAACAACTTCAGAAGCGCATCGCGCAAAATGACTGTTCCGCCATTAAGCGGGTTTGTACATCACAAAGCATACGACTAGTAATAGTACTGGAATACTGTGAGGTGTCCATTTCTAACAATGCCATATAGACTGCACTATTCAGAGCTGTTTCATCAAATAGGCACTGAGGGACGATGAACAAGGCTGAACAATCTCTTCGTGGTGCCAGCTGGGTGGTTTGGGTTAATCTGGTTCCATCGAATGGTTCGGCGGCAGTGTTTCAGGATGTGATGGGTTTACGCTCGGCAAGCGTTCACCCTAAAAAGAGCCAGTTGCCTGTTTAACAATACTGCGATGTGGTGGATGTGACTAAATAAAGTCGCTACCACTTGTCTATTCACATGCTCCTACTCATTCCGAGGACGCCAGCCATCCACTACGAAGATTCCCTTTCACCCCTACTCAAGCAGATGACACAACCGAATATAACAGTTGCGGCGCAGTATTTACAAGTTCAAGCAACACAGTTACAAACATTCATACCGATATATATATATATATATATATATATATATATATATCACATGGCGCCATAGTTGCAGACACGGAAGTTTTGCGCCGAAGTGGGATGTATGCAGTGGAGTGCATACTTTTATTGAGACACCTGAGATGACTCGGCCATGTGAGCCGTATGGATTCGACGCGGATACCGAAACAACTTTTATACGGTCAGCTGAGTATTGGGAAGCGGCGCGTGGGGAAACCAAAGTTACGATACCAGGACATGATTAAAGTGAGCCTCACACGTTCTAACCTTGATTGCAGATCATGGGAATCGAAGGCGGTTGATCGGCGTGCATGGCGCGATCTAATCACGAAGGCAGTTGCTGAAGTGCGGGAGAAAGCCCTCATGCATACAGAGAAGCGGCAAGTGCGGAAGCGGCAAGCACCGATGAATTGTACTCCATCGACATCAAGCACATGGTGCTGTAGAACATGCGGTCGCGAGTGCCTTAGTCAGGCAGGCTTAGTGAGCCATGAGCGAGGCCACTCGGGACTACTACCGAAGCGACGACGGGTTCTGCAGAGAACATAGGCAGAACCGGCGCAGCGTTTGTAAGTACGCTGCATCCGATTTACTAACCGCGTGCTTGCATGCTAAGTCTCTTTATTTCAGGTGGTGGGTTTTCAATTTTGTCCTAATGCCTTTCTCCCATAAATTTCTAATGTATAATGTCTAGTGAGCCATGAGCGAGGCCACTCGGGACCACTACAGAAGCGACGGCGGGTCCTGTAGAGAAATATTCAAAACCGGCGCAGCGTCTGTAGATACGCTGCATTCTTTCTACTAACCGCGTGCTTGCATGCTAAGTCTCTTTATTTCAGGTGGTGGGTTTTCAATTTTGCCTTAACGCTTTTCTTTCCCATATAAATGTCTACCTGTACTCTATTCCATTAACTTGCACAAATCGCTCAAGCCAATTGTATTCGATTTCCATAACATTTTTGTGTTCGTGGCATTTCCGTATAGTATACTTTCTCACCTCGTGAACTTATCTAGGATTTGTTTGTAAACAACTTATTTCATATGCTCATTAACTTAAGGTTTATGTCACCGTTTCCTTATGTATCAATCGAGTTATTTTCTTTGTCTCTCTCTCTCTCTCAAGTGATTGGCTGTTGTTTGATATCCCCGATGTGGCTGCGCTTGATGTGCATGTTGACAAGGCGCCTACCTGTCTAATACCCACTACCTCGTCCATACTGGCTCCAGAAGACAGTTGGTCGTTGCTGGAGGGGACGGGGTGCACGGTCCTTGTGGCCGTGTTAGGATCAAAGAGTGGTACCATGCAGTCAGTGTGAAGCGGACTACGGTCCAGCCACCGCCTTGTGTGCGATTGATTCCCCAAATACAGCGTGCTTGTGTTTGCCTGTGAAGGAGTGTTGGCCGGCTCCGTTGATGAAACGTGGCTCCCATTCACATGCCTTCCGGTCTTATTCCTTCGGTTTACACTGGATATGGGGTGTGTGGTTGGAGCTGTGGATGGTGCAGCGCAAGCCACCCATGGTCCCTCTGTAGGCACAGGCATCCTGTGGCTCGCCACAGTGACAGGCAAATCCGAAACCGGATGCCGCCAACCATATATACCACATAGATCCAGTACGATAATGCTAACCCCGAACGATGCTGTACATTAGCAATCAATCGTGCTAGTATTACTATGATCATGTCTATTCAGGCGTGCCTCGCGTTGTCGAGAATACACTATTAATTTATTTAAATAGCTGGTATACCTAGATGAACAAGATTTAAGGCAAAACGTCCATTGTTAAAATAAATGTGTATCACAGACGTCCGACACAGCCAGTTTCATGAGTCGAACTGAACTAAGCACCAGACGCACCCATTTTGGAGGGGTGGTTTTGAAGCACTGGTTGTGTGAATGGATTGCGACGCGAAATTCCAACGTGGACTGCGATTCAAAAGGCGGTAATTATCTGACCGACCCAAATGAACGAAACAGAAACTAATGTTGATACCACTGATAACAAGAAGGTAACATAGAGGAAAGGAAACTTCACGCGCACCATAGAGAAAGCGATTGTATAGTGAAGTTCACGGATAAGCCATGCGACGCTCGTGGCTTGCGGATTAGTATGAGAACTTCAGCCGGCTAACGAGTCTAAATTCACTGTGCAAAAGATAAAGGAAAAGGTGCTGGAGTACAATACCCGGTCTCATAATGACGACGAAGCCATACGATGGATGACAATGAACAAATGACTGCAGTAGTGAAGTGAATGCGAAACCGAAGGTCTATTAATACAGTCAAGAGATCAGCCGACCTCGAGCTGACATCCCGCCTTATTGTATCAGAGCTCCAGAGGCCTGGGTAAGGTTTCTATAAGGAGAATGCTCTGCGCTTAAGGCGAGGCTTTAACCGATGCTGAATGGGAAGTGGATGCTAGAAGAATGTAAAAGGTGATAGAGAAGGTCGGCAGCAACGATCAAAATTTCATATTTCCTTATTAACCGTCAATGGATCTCTGTCGGTCTTGTCTATGACTAGGTTCTGTGAGGAAAGGCTGATAAACAGTTGCGAATGGTCCCAGAAAGTAAGCTACAAAAAAGCAAAGCGGTACAATCGATTCTATGAACAGTAATGGTCAGACGACAGAATAGAAGGCGGAAATTGTACGTTACATGTGAGGAAAGACGTTGGGAACTAAAAAGCTCATAAGTGGTCGTTGGTCGAGTTGCCAAAAACCAAACTCTCGTGCATCAGCGTAGCGAGTACAAAGCTTATCACCAGGTACGTTTGAATCCGGAATGTAACTCAAGTTGAGATGTGCACATCGGTGTGCATTTTCGGCCGCTCAGTGAATGGACATAGATATCAAAGTACATATTAATATCCGATCCGATATGGCAGTGTCCTATCTCCATCGGATTTTTACCATTCTGAGTGGACGGTTAATGTGAATAGTGATTCAGGTGACCCAGTCGAGAACATGTTCTTTTTATTTTCTAGATCTTGCAAAGCATGATACACTGCGCTGATTTGAGCAATCCGACGAAACCGCTCGAGTTGTACCGAAAGTGGAACGCCAGGATCATGGAAGAACACTTCCGTCAAGGGGATCGAGAACGAGAAAGCGGTCTGGAGCTGAGTCCAATGTGTGATCGAACTACGGCTTCCATCGAGAAGACTCAGGTGATTAAACCGGTCTCATTGAACCACTGTTACTGCACTGAAACTGGTTAGTATAACGCAGTTGGGGAGCAGCTAATACTGTCCGTCGGGCGCCTATCAGAATATCCATGTGTCAAATGGTGGCTTCGAGACAAAACAAAGTGCCCCAAAATTCAGTCAGTACAGTGGGTTATCTGTTAGGAGGATCTTGATGCCACGTTATCGGCACGTCAGAAAGATCGTAACGTTTGGACTGATCAATGAGCTCATAAAATCTACAGATAACAAACCTAGTCACTTTAAATATATCTATCGCACATAGCAGAACACAAACAGCCTGCGAAAGGGAACGCATGCGAAAGACACGTAAATGTAGCAATTATTTTGTTACCACAGTCAATTTGGAAAACTCCATCTACCATTTGCGCATTTCTAGACAGAAGCAATTAGGTCGGAATACCGAGTACCTTGATACGACATCGAACAAGCATTGTTCTGACTCCCAGTTGAGTGCAAATTAGAATATGTAGGTGTTAGTGTTCAGTAATTGTCACGAAAAAAACCATCCAATCGGAAAGTATTACTTGGTTTCTCTCCTTTCTACATTTAGGTGAGTTTCATCGATTACATCGCCCATCCTTTGTGGGAAACTTGGTCAGAATTGGTTCATCCTGATGCCCAACATATATTAGACGCGCTGGATGATAACAGAGAGTGGTATCTCAGTCAAATCGAAGAGGAATCTATCAAACCATGAGACGCAAGAGCAGCAAAAAATGGGATGCAAACCACCGGTCTTGCCATATCTCTCCATTCAGATAGGACGCCGAATACAAAATACACGTTTTCATTCGTGTCGCTCAACAGCGGCTCAAGACTCAGGACCGCCCCATACCCCCTAACGAAAACAACGCATCTATCAGCGTCGTGCACGGACACCATTGTTATTAGCATCTACAGTGTTGCCCGTATGGAACAAACCCAGCGGAAAAGATCTACCGGTAGCTTCGAAAGCTTCTTCTGTTTCCTCTGTACAGTCACTATAAAGGGACAAACAAAAAACTAGGAAAAATCGATGGTCGTACGACGCCAAGCACTACCTTTCCTTAACCCAACATACCGGATGACAGCATACACGTCGCACAAGATAACAGCAACACCGCAAGGTGACCGTTACGTAAAAAAGCATACATAAACGCGCGCACACATACACACACAAACACAAGAACCCAATAAACGAGGAGGCAGGAAGAACATGCTCCTCTAACCAACGCATTGCCATTGCAAATGTTTGTAAAATTGTTTTGCGGATGCAATTTGTTGATATCTTTGTTATCAAATACTATGAAAAATTATCCGAAAAAAAAACAGAGGAAGACAATTAGTATCCGAATCACGTGGATGGAGGGGTAATTCAGGTCACATGTAATCCAGGCAACCAGGCAATGGCTGATAGCCATTATTCAAGAGCATATACAAACGGGATTCGATGTTGCCGAGTAGAGAGCTGGCACCGAAACGCAAAAATTCCGGTTGAACCCATTCCGGCCCCATGTAGTTCAAAACCAAAGCGAGGTAATTCACCGCATCCGCAGCAGTTCGCAGTCCCCCTGCAGGTTTGAAGCCAACCTAGAAACAGAGAGGAAGAATAAAGATGAAATCATTTTTATCTGTTTTGGCCAGAAAAGCATAGCACAATATATAGTTATTTTTGTACCGATTGTGATCTTTGGACACTACTACCTGGGTGATTAGCATCACAAGCAGATAAGCAGAACGAGTAGGTCTCTCGGTATTTATGCACTGTACTGAAACGCGATCCGTAGATGTTCTTCCAACTGCGCTCAAGGTGCGCAAGTGGCCCAGAATGGTCCTTAGTGTGAATGGATTTATATGTAATTGACTAGCAGAAGAACAGAAGTCCCTAGGTGGATTCATCCGCATCGGGCAACTACGGAAAATTACGTAGAGAATTATCATCGATTACTAACGAGGTTTCCTAAAGAGGAGAGTGAACAACTGCTGTAGGATGGACAGCTTCCTGAGGACAGACAGCGGAACTATGCATGGAGACTCAATCGATATCGACTAATGATAATAAGTGGAGAGAGCCAATGGAACACTAAGGAGCCATAAACTTTCGAACAGAAAACGTAGCACAAGACGATAGCGACCCCAAACATGAGAATTCGACTGGCCCGCAGCCGTACGATAATATAGTAGTAAAAACAGCGAGGTGTGCCGCATTTCCACAAATTTCAGAAACTGTTTGAATCAAGTTGCGCACAGAGCTATTGGTTCAACCACAGTCATCGGATTTGCTAATGCCAAACCGAGAAATTGAGGACGTAATATGGTTTATTGCACATAGTTCGTGTTGAAGCAAAAGCAAGCTACGCCACCGCTAGAAAAGAGGGACGGGGTTGTGGAACCCAAATTCCGGGTGACGAAACAGGAGCATAGAGACTAAAGGAGCTTTATGAAGCATGTAGCAACAGCAGTAAGGGAATACAGTATATGGTATTTCTACATCAATGCACGTGAACAAATAGGGCTGCATGATTCCATGGGTCGCTCCTCAAAATTGCAGGTGGCGTAAGTTTCGCGTTAATAAGTTGGCTTAAAGACACGGTCTGTCAAACAATGTTAAATGGCCGGCATTTTGAGAGGCAGTAGACCGTCGACCTCGTCGGTTTCAAAACCTACCTCTGGTGGACACAATGAAGTGAAACGCCTTTAAAAAAATCGCCAGGCATGACCGCCAAGCAATGATAGGATGCATTACGCCTCTGATGAACTTTCACTGTCCCAAACTATTGCATTATGAATACTACCACTAGTACTATTATTATTATTGTTATAGTGGACCAAGCAGAAAACAAATGTAGGTTGTATGAAACGACGAGAAAATGTAAAAATTAGTATGAAACGGGAGCATTTACGATGGTAGAAACAAAGTTACATTCGACGATGGTAGTGCATTCATCATTTAATCTATTTGAAACCGTGGTAAAATATATTTGTGTCAGTATTGTGCGTGTGACAGTTGGACCGACACAGAAAACGGCGCCATTCTACCAGCGATGAAAACCGGTAACTGTATACCTTCCTTTGTTAGTGGTAAAATAAAATGCGACAAGATTAAGCGAATCATGGACGCCACAATCTCTGGATGGGCTAACTGCGTGCCTCACAAAACGCGATACCGATTGTAGCTTTTATCCGCCAGCGAAGCGGTCTGACTCGAGATCCAGCGCTTGAAGCGATGCAAGGCTGTGGCCTTAGACAGACTTCCTCCGGAGCTGTTCAGGTACAGCGGTGTAGCAAACATTGACCAGCTGACTTTGTTGTTCGCAAAAAGCTGGTATGAGGAAAAAGTGCCCTCTTCATGGGGCGAATCAGTTAGTTCCAAATTTCAAGAAAGGAGCACGCACTTCATGTGTATAGCAGTGCATGACTTCGGAGTTCCGTCCTGCCAATTCTACGTTACCATTTTACGTCACTTTTACACTATCTTTGCAAAATGCCGAAGAAAGCAATAGATGGCTCCTGTTCAAAAACTGTTGGACGAATGGCAAATTCCCTTACGTGCTTTGATAGTTCTGAAGGATTTTACAAAGCGTGTATTGGGTTACCTGCCGATTCCTACCGCCTTTTGCGTTCCATACAACATGATTTCATGCAAGTTTTGGGCAACGATTATTGAAGTCGAAGGTAGCCAGGGAAACGTACGTATCCAGATGCAGATCGCAACCAAAAATGTCTGTTGGCAGTTGTAAATATATGGTCACACAAACTAGCCTAGATTATATCCGAGGTTCAACTCAACCTTCGTGCCGTCGAGTAAGCTTCCGCAAATCAAGAAGACTGGACTGCGATCACAAAGTCGTATATTAAGATCACGCATGGCTATGTATAAAGTATATACACACTAGTTGCGAGAGCCCGCTCCACTGACTCATCCTTGCTATTTGTGTTATGTCGCTGGCTACATTTCCATTAGTTTAGGCTTGTTCGTAACGTTCAACTAAAATTATCTGGAGCCGCGTTGCTGATTTTCCGAGTGGATTGTACGATTGGCTCGCTTGGTCACTCCTCCATCTGGTTACACGCTTCTTCTCTTAGTCCGGCGCCACAGCAAACCTTGACTTAAGTGCGGACAGTCATTTCGTGGGTTGGCAAACCAATCCGCTTCTTCGCTTCTCACGGATACGCGGTCTTTCGCCAGACTGAATCGATCCTGTGCATTTGAGACTTGGTGGCGCCTGACTGAACACCTGCACACTCAGTAAATGTTTGTTCACTTGGCTGGTTGTCCTCACAGAGCTCAACGTGGGGGTGCGTCAACCACTCGCTTCTCGGCTGGTCAATCCGTTTTCGATGACTTGTTCAATTTCCCTCGGGATAAGCTGCAACTGTGCGGTATTACGCAAAATACTGTGCGTCGTTCGATTGGTCATCTGCCTAACGGTATCATAGCGTTTCCACTCACCATCGGTTTCAGACACCATCAAACTACCCATTCACCTTTCTCCGATAATTCATTACATCACCACGCTAATTTTTCCAGAAGCGAAACATTAACCGAGGATAGCAACCCATTGACTTTGCGATCTGCTAGATGTGAAGACACAGACGAATGTCTAAAGGTTGATGAGCCATGGAAAAGTCGATGACAGCAGAATGCGTGAACCGATTACTGGTTGGAAGCAGCAAGTAGAGTTTGCTCTGTGTAGCTGCATCTAATGTCACTCAGGGACAAAGACCCGTTATGTTGTGTTGCGCTCAATATATTTTGCGTCCGCAAAGTGGTTGTCCAGGAACTTCTTAAATTCCGACACCGACTTTGCCTCAACTACGTGCTGTGGCAGGCCGTTCCATACATTCACCACTCTGCGTTCGAAACAGAGTTGGTGAGCGATCCGCTTCAAATACGGTACGACATGCTTGTACCGGTGTCCTCGTATGCTGCTTGGTGTGCGCAGATGAAGCAGCGGCCTCAACATGGGGTAATAGCGGCTTCCAGCTGCTGACAACAACCAAAGTCAAGATCGGCTCCAAATCACCTTCCACCCGCAAAAATCGCTTCAAATGATAGGAGGCGGTCAAATCCGACGCTTTTTCACGCGACTATGTCCACCGCTCAGACGCGGTATGATCACAATGTTGAGTTTGTACATAGCCTGGTTAGTAGGATTCTTGGTGTGAATAAAGCCCCGTGGCGCAGCTGCACGCTATCCGGCGTGTCCCCAGGTTGCGGATTGGGGAATGCCTCCTCTGTGGAGGTAAATGTGAATAAGTCTCGTCTGCTTTGGAGGCAAGATGAATAAGCAGTCACGGACAATCAGCGGCAGCGTCTCAGAGCGTGGAGAGCTCTGGGTTGATCACCTGGTTCTCCATCAAATACCGCAAGAGCTCGTACGGCGCTGTGTCAAAGCCAATGTGACAGGTTATAAGGTCACTGACCACTCACTTCTATACCAAGAGATGAGTACCTATTGGAGGGCGGATGAGCAACTTTGCTGCGCAAACTGCAACCGAACTCAAAGAAGGCGAATGAGTCACCTGGTTGTCAACGGTCTTGGTATGCAGAAAACTGCGTGAATCGCCCCGCTGCCCTGCGGTTCAGATCCTTAGGACCGAAGGCTCGAAGTGGGGTCCCTTAAGTCAACTCTTTTCTTGGTCCTGGGCAACCGGGAAGCTCAATGCGTACATAATGCATGAAACCTCATAACCATTTCGCTGAATTTCTTGTTCCCTTTTTATTGTTTTTACTCAGGTGTTATGGCACTGCCAGTTGTGCATTGGCCAAGTGTTAAATATATACAAATACATTGGAGGAAAGTCTTACATTTTGAGGGTGAAAAGCATAGCCCGAAACGGCTGACAGCCAGTGTCGCTTAGCACATCTCTGAGTTGTCACAGATGAGGGCAATATCATCAGCATACTAAAACTCAAGAATTCGTTGGCCTGTGAGCCGCTTCAAGCCTTCTAAGCCGTGTCTTGTGAACGCAATCGCCATGACTTCGTCAATAGTGAGGTTGAAGAGGAGGGGTGACAGCAAACAATGTTGTCTTACAACATTGGAGATTTGAAAGGATGGCGACAGGTTGCCGAAAAGCCTCACTCTGCCTGAGCTAAGAGCGTAAAATGCTCGCATAATATTTACATACATCTCAGGCACACCTTTTCTGAGTAGACAGTCTCAAAAGGTACATCGACCCAACTTTTGATGTTGAGGAACACAACTGTGGACCGCCATATATATGACGGTGCTCCAACAATTGACGCAAAGTGAACGTGGCAAATGCAGCCGCAACTTCGAGGAAACGCGGCTTGTTCTTCACGAACCTGGCTTTCACGAATGCTAGTCAGTCTGTGAGGGATGAGAAGCAAACAAATTGGAGGCGATGGAGATCAGACTAAATTCCGCTATGACTGCCGGATTTCGAACGGGAGCCTCCCTTGTAGATTGGGACTATAACGGAGCGGGTCCAATTGGTTGGGGCAGGCTCCTGCTCCCACATTTACAATAGTAACTCGTGTAAATCATCAACACAATCAGATCCCCCGAATTTGAAGAGGGCTGGAGGAAGATCATCTGGTGCCGCGGCTTTATTCGACTTCAGCAGTCCGATCTCATGTGCGACTTCAAGCAAGGACGGATCCAAAGGGACAGTTCAGGGAGCAGGGCGATCAATGGCCAGTGAGGAATCTA